GTCCTCACGACTTAGATCCATGCCTGAATATAGCAGGTGCTCAATAAACATTTGCTCACTGAATGATGTGTTGAATCCATGACATGCTCTCATCTCTCGCGAGATCCGAATCGATTTCCTAGGACTGCCCTAACAAAATACTGCCAATTGGGTGGCTTAAAACAACAGAAATTTATTGTCTTATATTTCTGGAGGCTAGACGTCCTAAATCAAGGTGTCAAATCTTTCCTTGCCTCTTGCTAGCTTCTGGGTGTTTGCTGGCCATCCTTGGTATTCTTTGGCTTGTAGCTGCATGTCTCCAATCTCTGCCTTCATTGTCACATGGAGTGCTTCTCGTGTGTCTGCCTCTTCGCATGGCATACATAAATATATGCATATTTTAATAAGGACGCCAGCCATATTGGATTAGGGGCCTACAATACTCTAGCATGACTTCATCTTGACTTAAATAATTACATGTACGACAACTCTATTCCAGAATAAAGTCACCTTCTGAGGTACTGGGGATCAGGACTTCAACATCGCTTTTTTGGGGGGACACAATTCAACCCCTAAGAGGATATTTGTAGTTTTTCCCTAGAATTATAGTACTCAAGTTATTATTACTCCAAGTAGATTATAAGTTTTTCAAGAAAAAAACATTCAGTTTTACCTCTGAACTGGCAAACCAATGGCTCTTGGGCTGGATTTGGTTCCCAGGCATGGTCATCTATCCTGAAGTACTGGCCCACATAGTGCTTTGAAAGATTTTTTGCATTAGTTTGTAAACATTTAAAAGTTAGGAAACTTCACCTACAAATCTGGATTTCTGGTTTCCATGACAAATCAGAATACCCTGTCACCCGAGCCTGTCTTGCACGTGTTCCTCACTGCCCAGAGCCTGGCACGGGCTTCTTAGACGGGCAGTGCCCTCTGTGCCCCACACTTACACCTCTCCCTGCTGTTGCCCCAGCCCTGCTGCCGGGTTCAGCTGTCACTTGTCACCTGGCCAGCTTCATTTGCCTCCATCAGCTGCCTGGCTCTTGTGGACAGGTGAGTTTGCAATCCCTGAGCACCAAGCGCTTCTCGAGGGAACGACAGATATTTGGTGGTGATAATGATGAGGGCGATGGTTGTGAATTGATACGTAGGTTGCATCTCCGCTTTTTCTTTTGCCATATACTCTCGAACATTCCCCCATCAAACTTTTATCCCCACTGCTCCACCACGGTGTCCAGCGTAAGCTCTCTGTCCGCACCTCACTTATTAGCAGCATTTGACATAGTCGATCACCTCCTGCTCTTGACCCACTTTTTTCACTCGAATTCTGTACCACTACACTCTCTTGATGTATGTCCTCCCGCTGGCCACTCCTCAATCTCTTTTGCTGGTTTCCCCTCCTTTCTTATTCCTATAAAAATTGTTATAGGAGCCTAGCAACTTAGGAGGCTTAGGCAGGAGGATCGTTTGAACCCAGAAATTCGAGGCTGCAGTGAGTTATGGTTGTGCCCCTGCACTTCAGCCTGGGTGACAGAGTGAGACCTCACCTGTAAAAAATAAAAAATAAATAAATAAATAAATAAAATCGGTGTGCTTGCAGGGCTCATTTCTGATATATACTCTATATTCTACCCTCCACTTCCGCCCTTAGGAGATCTCATCCAGTCTTGTGGCTTTAAATACCCTCTACACACTGACAACTCCCAAATGTTTACCTTCAGCTTCTAGGATCCCCCTGAACTCCAGAGTCCTTCACCCATTTCTGCTTGGATGGTCAAAGGACTCTTGAACTTGACATGCACAAAACCAAACTCTTCGTTTCAATTCACAAAGCTTCTCCTTTCCCATTATTCAACATTTCAACGTATATCAAATTTATTATTCCATGTGCAGGAATAATTTGTTTAGGTCAAAAAACTTAGAATTACCCTTGATGGCATTTCTTTCTCTCATACATTCACTACATCAGTATATCCATGGGGCTCTTTGAGGCGGTTAATTATGTGTCAGCTTGGCTGGGCCATGGTGTCCAGTCGTGAAGGTATTTTGTAGATGTGATTAACATTTGAATCAGCAGACTTTGGATAAAGCAGATTACTGTCCATTATGCGGGGGGCGTCATCCAATCAGTTGAAGGCCTTAAGACCAAAGACTAAAGTTTCCCAAACAAGAAGAAATTCTCCTTAAGACTGGAACATGGGAAGCTTGCCTGAGTTTCTAGCCAGCTGCTCTGTGGAAGACTGAAATACCAGCTCTTACAGGTCTCCCGCCTCTGGCCTGCCCTGCGGATTTCAGATTTGCCAACTTTCACAATTGAGCCTAATCCCTTTAAAATTTCTCTCTCTCTCTCTCTATCTCTGTCATCTCCTATTGGTTCTATGTCTCTGGAAAACTTTGACTAGTACACTCTTTTTTCAAAATATGTCTAATATCTAAGCCCCTTGAACCGTATCACTCTGGTTCAAGACATCACCGTCTCTCTGCTGAATTTTACAATGGCCGCATATCTGGAGGTTCATCTACAGCCTGTTTTCCATGGAGCAGCTAGGGTGACCCTTCATAACCATAAGCCAAGCATACTCATTCCTCTATTTAGTGTCCTCTGTTGGCTCCCACTGCATTGAGAGTAAAAGCTGAAGTCCTTGGGTGGCCTTCAAGGCCTTGCACTGTTTGGTGTCCTGCTACTTTCTCTGACCTCGTCTCTGTGCCCTCCCCTGTCTTGCTAGCCTGCAGCCATGCACGTTCTTCCTGTTACGTGCCGAGCAAGCTCCTGCCGCAGAGCCTTTGCTCCTGCTGCTCTCTCTGCCTGGAAATCTCTTCGTTCGGATAAATTCCTCTGAGCTACCCATGAATAGAATAACACTAGTTCCTTACATCTCAAGGGAAGCAATGACTTCATCCAAAATGGACCATTCATTTCTGACTTGCCAAAATGTGTGTCTCCACCAACTGCCCCAGAGTATCATCTATGGTAGATGGCCTGGGATCTTTCCGATGGCTGGTCTAATCATTTACAGTTCCTGATTGTTGCTGTACACTGTGTAAGAGTGGCGTGCATGCAAGTCAAGGGAAAATGGTAACTCCTTGCATCTGTTGGCGTGTGCGGGTTTCACTGTCTCATTCTCACGAGCCTTCCTATTGGGCGGGGCTGCTTTCTAAAGGAATCCTTGTCCTTTCATCTCGGGCCCAAGAAAACATGCTAATTCATACTCAAAACACTGTGCTTTGGTGAGGGAAGGGCATGAGACGCGTTATGGGAAATGGATACTTTAAATAGATGTGCACAGAGAAACACCCTCCGTGGCGGCAACGTGGTCAGACAGTCCCCGTCCCCCTGTACTCTGTGCCCCTCTGCCCCAGCCCTCCTTTCCGCTGCCTTCCTTAAACGGCCAGCTGGCCAGTGTCTAGTGGCTCCAGAGGCTCCAGTGTTAGATCACCCGGTCCTTCCTCATTGCGTGTCCTCATAGTCACGGAAGGAGCCCGCGCATCACAAAGGTGATGCTTCTGGGTGTGGAATCAACGAGACCTGGCTCGAGTCCTGAAGCTGACATTCTAAACAGGGGAGGGGGGCTTGGATGACTTATACATCCCTCTTCGCTTATGAAATAGAAATGATAATGCCCATGTTTGGGATTTAAATAAAGTATGTACGCGTGCCCGGCCTGCCCTAAACTCAGTGACTGCAGCTCACAATGGGTCAGTGTGGAAGCCGAAGCCATACTTCAGAGACAGTCTCGAGACCCTGTCACCTGGGGTGGGGCTGGTGTGTGCGGCGGACACTCCTGACCTTTCCCGGGAGACTGAGCGTACGCCACTCTTTACGTGGTCACCCCAGTGCTCCTCCCCGGATATGAACTTGATCAGGCCACTGCCCTCCCTGACATGCTTATGAGACTGACCTTGAGTTTAGCCTGCAGGTGGCCTGCGACAGAGGCCCATCAGGTCCCAGCCTCCTCCCGGCCCCTCGCCTCCTCATCTTTAGACCCCTCACCGTGGACCGTTGCTCTAGGCATGAAGGAAACCTTGAGGGGTCGGTGATCCTTGAGCTCGTTACAGCAGCCATGCGTGGTCCAACCTCACCGGCAGGCAGCCATGTTTTTCCGTCTCCCTTGCAAGATCTCTCGGGAGGTTTTCTGAAATTTAGCCACACCGTGGCAACTGCACTCCCCTGTTCCCCTGCCAGTCTGAGACAAGAGAGTGGCAAGTCTGCTGGGACCAGTTTTTCATGCATACCTGTAGTCTTAATGTGATTTTTTAGTTTTACTTTATTTTTAATTAACACGTAACAATTGTACATATTTATGGAGGACAGTGTGACGTTTCAATACATTTATACATTGAGTAATGATCAAATGAGGGTGATTAGAACATTCATCACCTCAAACATTATCATATTTGAAATATACAGCAAATTACTGTCAACTACAGTCACCCTACTGTGCAATAGAACAGCAGAACTTGTTCCTGTCTCGCTGCAGCTTTATGCCTGTTGACCAGCCTCTCCCCTGATACATTCGTCCCCCATCCCCTCACTTGCAAATGCTGGGCTACATCACACGATTCCCTGGATCCCTTCCCACCAACAGCTGGGGTGTGCACGCTCTCCAGCGAGGAGTCCGCTCGCTGATGCTGCCGGGGTTGAGGTGAGATGCTGCGCCCACAGCTCCAGATTAATCAGATAGCCAAGGAGGCGTTTGCAGAGAGAGGCTGGGTGGGGATCACTTTCCAAGGGGTGGCAGGCCAGCCAGTGTGGGCCAAGCCAGTCAGGGAGGGGGCGAGCCCAGCAGTCTTTGTTCCTGGGTGCTCTCTGCCCTCCTTCCCTGCCCTGGCCGCCCCCAGAAGAACCACACTGTGTATCTCAGTGCTAGAATGCGAGGAATGTGCTGCAGCCTGATAGGCATGATCTGCAGAGAGGCAGGGAGGAGCCCTGCTCCCCAGCAGAGGCCTGACAGTGCAGGAGCTGTGGGCCTGAGGGCTGGGCCGCCCCTCCCACCCTGCCTGGGCCTCCTGCTGCAGCCGGGATATCAAAGGCTGCATTGTGCATTGAGAGGGCCTTGGTCCCTCGTGTGCCAGGGAGGAGGCGGGAGGAGGGACACCGTTGGGAGGCTGTCCCCTCCCAGCACTCTTCTGGCTGGTGTTCCCAGGGGCCTTGCCCAGGGTAGGATGGTGCACACATGGGTGGCTGCTTCTGCATCCCCGGGGAGCGGAGTCTGACCTGGGGCCCAGGTGAGTTTCCTGGGGGGTCCTGGCCTGTGGCTTGGCAGAGGTGGTTGGTCCAGTGAAGGCTCAGGGACCTGCTGGCTTGGGGAATCTCCTCTGCCAAAGATGGGGAGATGGTTGTGCTTTCTCCTCCCGCCCCTGTTCTGTACTTGTCACTTTGGCTTTGCAAACCAAGAGTCAAGCCTGAGAAGCATCTACTTTTCCTGAAGAAAGAGGCTTTGAGCTCTCCCTGCTGAGGAGCTGAGCTGCTCTTGGCTGCCACTCCCGGGTGTGACTAAGCCCTTCCTTCCTTTCTTCCCAAGATTCCCTAGGACAGGAAGAAAGTTCAGGCAGTGAGTTCCTCTGTGGCCTACGGGTGGTCATAAATTTGGCCCTAGTTGCTCAAGCCTATTTTTGTCAGGGTTTCTGTTACTGGAGAAAAACAGGCAGTTTCCTGCCTCTACGTATTGCAGTGTGATTTTTTTGGGGGAGGAATGTCAATTTGAGGCCATGGAGAATTGCTGCTCTAAGATTGTCAAGTCATCTGAGATCTGACTTGGGGACCAAGCATTCTGGTTTGCCTGACACTGAGGGCTTCCCTGTGATGCAGTCAGTGCTGAAACCCAGACAGTCCCAGGCAAACCAGGGTGGCTGATCACCCCAATGAAAGCTCCTTGCTTCTTTTCAGAGCAGAACCAAGGCGGGGCCCTGTGTTCTCTTTCGTGATATTTATCAGCATGGGTGGTGGCTTTGGGGGAAGGTGGGAGTGGCCTGGGGGAGGGAGGACTCATTTGGGAGATAGAGGAGCATTTCTCCAAGGAATCATTCCTAACCTTGCTAGGATCACCTGTCTTCCGGGAGCACCGCCATGGCTCCTGAGATGGGGAGCCACGGAACACCCCGAGCTGGGGGCTTCCTACTCTCTTACAGATGACTTCTCCCTATAGTCTTGTGAGCTGGGCTTGTCGAAGGCACTCGAGGTCCTTAAAGGGAACCTGACGCAGCCAGAGTCTACATCCTCTGCTCGAGGTTCTGGCCTGGGCACCTTGGCACCTACAGCAGGGAGTGCTTCCAAGACAAAGGCCACCCTGGACCTAAAACCATAAGCAAACAAACCCCAAACAGTGTCCTTGGCACAGAAGGTACAACGTTACCTATGAAACATTTTGCATCTCCAGATTTCTGGGATTTATAAACTTTTCAGTCCCTCTCCCTAAATCCTATTGTCATTGTACCCCAAGGGAGCGGACATAGCATGGAGGGGAGACACGCAGGACCACTGGCCGGGAGGTCAGAGACCTGGGTCCTGGATATGACTCAGTCTACCTCTGCTCAGGCAGGTGTCATCATGGCTAATCACCTGGTCTTTGAGGCCAAAGTATCTGGGTTTGATCTTGGTTCTTTTACTTGCCTCGAGCAATTTATTTAACCTCTCTGTGTTTTAGTTTCCTCACCCGTAGCTTTTATGAAGCGATTACACCTTCCTGATGGGGTTGTGGTGGGGATTCAGTCTACACGTGAAACACTTAAAACAGCCTGGCTTGCAGTTAATTAAGCACAATAAGTGGTAGCCACTGTTAGTGACGTTTCTATGACCCTAGCGTATCTCCTCCTCTCTCTGGGCCTCCATTTGGTCAGCTGTAAAATCCGAGTGTTGTAAACTGCCGTGTGGATGTGACTTAGGGAGCACTGCCCCTGCGCCCTGACCCTCAGCTGGAGCAGCTCTGCTTCTGTTGGACATTTGTCCTTCAGTCAAAGATTTGCTGTAGAACAGAGTTATGCCGCTCAGAACAAAGACACCAATATTGAAGAAGACATCCTCGATTTTTTTCTGATACTATCATTCAACTGTTTTATTCTTTCACCTATTTTTTTGCCATTGATAACTGGTTGATAACAGATTGATAACAGATTTACCTTTTCCCCAAGAGGCGGCCCGCCATGTGTTTCTATTGCAATGGCTTTTCGTGCCCACCCGTGTCAGGCCTTTCCCTCGGGAGGTTGCTGTGGGTGTTGTAGTGAAGCCAGGTGATAAAAACATGCCCATTCTAGATGTTCCTATTTATCTTAGAGAAAGGGAGCGGAGTGTGAGACCCACTCAGGAGCAACTTAATAGTTGTGTGACCTTGGGCAAGTCTCTCATGTGTGTTGAAGCTCACTTTTCCTGGCTGTAAATTGGATCTAATGATATTATCCATCACATGGAACTTCTGTAAGGATTAAATCAGATAATTCATCGTATGGACTTAGCACAGGGTCTGGCTTCTGATAACCCCTCAGTAATTCTGGGAGGTTTTATTGTTAGCTAATACGGACCACTCCCACTTCCCTTCTTCCTAATTCCTCACTTTACTGGAGAAGAAGTCTGTGCTCATGTTTCTTTGGCTGCTTTTATCTTTGTGTCTGTTTAAGTGGGAGCTAACAGTGAAGACCAAACAGTGAGTCCTCCAGGATAAGGGTGGCAGGAAAGAAGGCTCTTGATAGCTTTGAGCACTCAGCTGCCCAACTGGTCTGCGTGACATGATAACGAATGTCACTTCCGACTACCCCAGGGCATCCACATTCCTACACGTGGACTCTGCCTGCGCGTCTGTTCCCTGTGCTGTTTCTCATTTGCTCGCAGGAATATCCTGATTGCACATAGTAAGAAGGTAGGCGTTCGGCTAACTGCCACCATCTCTGACTTCCCCACCCTAGGAGTTTCTTGCCACTGTTTACTAAATTATAGTTGGTGACTTTGGATCATAGAGAAAGTGTCATGTCAAAGTTCATTGATCTGAAAGCTTCTAGAACTCCCTTATCTTCAAGACATTTTTGAAGAAATTTGGCAGATTTACACCCATAAAGAGAAGATGTAGGCTGGGCGTGGTGGCTCACGGCTGTAATCCCAGCACTTTGGGAGGCCAAGGCGGGAGGATCGCTTGAGGCCAGGAGTTTGAGACCAGCCTGGGCAACATAGTGACACCCCATCTCTACAAAAAATTGTTAAAAAAGAGAAGATGTGGGAGGGATACATTTGCCAGCATTTATCACTAGTGTTTGTAACTTCTTTCAACCTTTTTGGTAAATGTGAACCGTCAATAATAATTGGAGACTGGGGGATGAATGCTGACAATAGTAAATGATGCTTCGCTTTTGAATTTTAAAAGACTTGAAAAGCATTTTGAACATACCAATAATAGAGAATATTAGAATAATAAGCCCACCGTTTATTGGTAACAAATTTTTGCTTTATGCCGTATTACCTTGAGAACTTATTTATTTCTTTCTCTTACTTTTTGAAAAAATAAAACATCACAAATACACTTAGGGTTCCCTGGAGAGCTCTGCTCTCTCCACAAAATTAATCACTTTCATGAATTCAGTGGTTTTGTGCTTTTACTACATATTCATGAACCCACAATCATTACAAAGAATGATGCTGTAGATTTTTAAACTTAAACAAAATGATAGCATTATGCAACTTTTTTTCTTTTTCTTTGCTCAACATTAGAATCAGAGATACATCCATGCAGATAGATGTAGCTGTAGTTCTAATTTGATATTTGTCCCAACAAGGAGAAAGCGGGTTTACATCATAAAAACTGCTGATGGTATACTTGTCAGGCCAAAAAAGAAAGAAAATGTAGATGGAGAAAAAAAGCACGCAGGGAAATGTTTACTGTCTAGTTTTTTTCTTAAAGTCGAGGGTGGTGGTGGGTGGGTAGCACAGAGAGGCTGAGAGAGGAGAAATGAAAGTGAATTCTCATTTTCAGCAAATTGTCATGCATGAGGTGTTTCCCTGATCAGAGACCTTAGACCTCAGAGTTCCAAGGGCAGGTTAATGTAGTGGAAACGCCAAAGGTCTGTACCCACTGATTTGGATAACTCTGACTCTTCTGCTAACTTGCTATGTAACCCTGGCAAAATCACTACTCCACTCTGGGCCTTCGTTTCTCAACAGTAAAATTTGGAGTGGAACTAAATGATCTCTCAAATCCCTTCCAACATTCATTTTCTTTAATTATTGCCTCTTCCCCATCTTTATTCCTCATGTTCAATATGTAAAGATGCCTTCTCTTTGCTTGACTTTAAAATATTAATATAACGTCATTTATTCTATTCCCTCACTTTTCATTGCCAAGATCACAGTCCCCATTCTCACACCCACACCCTGGATTTCCATAGCAGCTGGTTGGCTGCACCTCCCACCTCTCCGGCTTCCCTCGCCCTGTCCGTCCTATTCCACCATAAGTAGAGGTTTCACTTTTATTACGCCACTTCTATGCTCAAGAATGTTGCACGGCTCCCCGTTTCTTGCTGTATCCGTTCTAAACACCTCTGCCTACTTTAAAGTGCTCGCCCCTCTCGACCCTCCCATACTCATCAATCTTAGTCCCACGATCTCCCACCTCTCCAGTACGCACAGGCTGGCCTCTCCCATCTCGTGTGTGTGCGAAACTCATGCCCACCTGGCCTGCTGATCTCTTTACCGGGAATCCTGCTTTCCCCCACCCATAAAAATCTGCCAAGAAAATAAAAAGCAAGCCACTGACAGGGCAATAATATTTTCAAAACACACATCTGATACTTATATCCAGAACACACATGCACATACATGTGTGTGCGTGTGTATATATATGTAAACTCTTATAATTCCATAATGAGAAGATAACCCAATAAAAACTGCACAGTGTTTATACCGACACTACCATATGGAAAATATATGGATGGCAAATGAGCACATGAAAAAATGCTTAACATCATAAGTTATTAGGAAAATGCAAATGGAAACAGGGAGATAAAACTGCATACCTATTTACAGTGGGTAAAATGAAAAAGGCTGATAGTATCAAGTGTTGGTGAGGATGTGGAGCAACTGGAGCTCTCGTACCTTGCTAATGGAAATACAAAATGGTATAGCGACTTTGGAAAACAGTTTGGGAATTTTAAAATAAATCTCAGTGTTTTTTTGAATTGAATGTCAGTAACTTTTTCTGATCAATAATAGTAGAAATGAAATTAGCTTACATCAAAAGTAATTTATTGATTAATAAATGAAAGGCCAAGGGTTTTAAAAAAATTTTTTTTTGCTTCAGGTATGGCTGGATTAAGACATTCCAATGATGTTTTCTGGAAGCTATCTGTCCTAAGCTCTGTTTGTACTAGACTGGAATCAACCTCAGGCAGGCATGCTCCCTGGGGTGGGCCCCGCAGCTCCAGGCTGTCATATTTACAGCTTCAAGAGCAGCGGAAAGAAAATTTCTCTTCTCTAAGAGCGATGATGAGGTCCTAGGTCTAATTCTCATTGACTTAACCTTGGTCACTTGGCCATAGCACAGCAGTTGGACTATGCTCGAGTCACGTACCCACTTTTGGAGCCAGGGGTGGACTCAGACCCACATGAACCATATAGACTGGGTTCACGGAGGTCACGTGGCTAATGAGGAAGCCAGGGTTTGAGTCCAGGGCTGTCTGATTGCTACCTGTTCCTAGCCACTTCTCTCTCTGCATTCAGTGTTAGAAAAAGAATGTATGCCCATTACAAAATATTTGAAAAGTAGAGTATTTGGAAAGTAGACAAAAGTATAGAAAAGATTGTCAAAAATGACTCAGCAATAACTACTACAGGCCTTTGGCTTATTTCCTTTCAGTCATTACAAAAATCATAAGGTAATGTTTCCTAAGGTAATTGATTACATGTGATAGTTTTGTGTTGCTTTGAATTGTCTTTGGTTCTTTTTCAAGGCTCAGCTTGAGTTTCAAATTCCATCATGTGGAAAAAGAACTCCGTGTGTAAAAGAGCTCTGGAAACTGTAAATCCTTGTGCAAGAATAGTTACCTGTTTTTCCTATTTAGAGCTCACTCTCATTTTCCAGCTTCTTTATTGTTTCTCAAGGAGGTGTCCTTCTGGCTCGTGGATCCTGAGGACGCTGGCGAATTGGCTTGAGCCATCTTGACCCAATATGCTAATTAAAAATTCACGTCTCCAGACTCTACCCCTGGATTTTCCAAGGTAGAGTAGGCAGAGAAGGCTCCAAGAACATTTTAAAATTCACCTTTTTATTAAAGTTTACCATTCGTACAATATTGTGCATGCAATCGTGTATACAGTGTGGTAACGTTTCACAAGGTGAATATACCCATCTATGATGTTTCATCCGGTTGTAATTCATTCATTCTCGTTGTTGTATTGTGTTTAATTATATGTACCATCATTTATTTATCCATTCTAGTGTAGATGGACATTTGAGTTGTTGCCAGGTTTTGAATGTTACGAATAGTGCTGCTCTGAATATTTTAGGAGATGTCATTTGGTCTTAGTGCATATAAATTTTTGGCTTAAATTGACATTGTTAGTTTTCCAAAGAGAAAATTTTCAAATTTTATTGCCACAATTGCATTATATGGAAGTTCCAGTTGCTCTATAGCCTTACAAACACTTGGCTTTATCTGTCTCTTTCATTTTAGCCAGTCAGTGTAGTTGTGTCCCAATGTGGTTTTAATTTTTATTTTCCTGATGAGGTTGAGCAAATTTTCATCTATCTGTTAGCTGTTTGGATATTATCTTTGGTAGAATACCTATTCAAACCTTCTGTCCATTTTTCTAGTGGGTTGCCTACCTATTTCTTAAAGATTTTTAGCATTCTGTACATAGTCTAGGTTTGAGTTCTTTGATGACTATACATAGTATCAGTATTTTCTTTTACTCTGGCAATTGCTTTTCACTCTTAATTGCATCTTTTGATTAACAAGCGTTCCTAATTTTAATGTATTACAATTTATCCATTATTTCTTTTGAGGGTAGCACTTTTTCCAGTCTGTTCAGGAAATCACTGACAACCTCAAGTCATGCAGATATTCTTCTATATTTTCTATAGGTTTTTTTTTTTTTGGTATAGACATCTGTTTAAAAACAATTACCTAAGTGATTCTGATGCAAACAGTTCACAAATCATGTTTTGCAAAACCTTGCAATTTTCTGTTCTAAACCTCACATATCCTTTAAAAGCTGCTCACCTTCTCCCCCAGGCCAGGGTCACCATCCTGGATTTCTTCAAGGCAAGCTCACTTCAAAGTCCCTCATTGTCAAGCCACAGTCTCTCTTTTTTTTAAATGAAAATTTTTTTTTTTTTTTTTGTAGAGACAGTGTCTTGAAATGTTGCCCAGGCTGGTCTTAAACTCCTGGCCCCAAGCAGCCCTCCAGCTTCCACCTCCCAAAGTGCTGGGGTTATAGGCATGAGCTACTGCACCCAGCCAATTGTCTCTTCTCATGGAATTCCACAACAGGAACACACTCTCAAACTCGCCAGGGCCAGATGTAAATGAGTGACTGGACGGAGTGGGGACCACTGTGGCTAGAGAACAAATACCCTGCAGAGGGTCAACGACCACGCAGCCTCAGCTAACTGTGTGGCCCTGGGCTATAGATCTTGCACATTTCAAAGCAAACCTAAGCATCTGAGTTACGTAAAATATTCTGATTTCTAAATGATGTCCAGTGATTCAAACTAAAAATTTACTGTGTGGGCCAAAAGAAAATAAAAAAAGCTGTTTGTGGGTTTGCTACAGCCTATGGTCAAACTTTGTCCTAGGGTAGGGAAGCAGGCTGTCACTCGAAGTGTGGTCCCAGTGGCATGAGCATCACCTGGGAACACATTAGACGTGCAGAACCTCAGCTTTCAACTACTGAGGCAAAATCTGTATTTTATCAATATCCCCAGGTGATTAATACGCACACTGAAGTTTTGAGAAGCACCTATTTAAGACCTGTGGTTCTCAACACTGGCTCAAATTGGAATCATTTGGGGAATTAAAAAACATACCTATGGCTACAGTATGGACCCCCAAAATCAGAATCTCTGGGGATGAAACAGGAATTTTAAAAAGCAACCTAGGTAATTCAAATAGGCAGCCAGGGTTCAGAAGCACTAATTTAGATCAACCCTTCGTTTATAAATGGGGAAAGTGAAATCTCAAAAAGTGGGCAGGTGAAGTGTGTTGGCCAAGGTCATGTCACTCCTCCATGGGAGGATTTGATTAGTGCCCATTCTCATATCATGATTCCCAGGCCAGTACCTTTTGGCTGCAGTTGCTTTTGGTTCCTGGGGGCAGAACTACAAAATGATCCTGTTCCACTATAGCTCATTACCTCCGGCTTTCCAGCTAAGCTGCTTAGCTTTCAGCACTGAACAGCTAACAAGATTTGCTGGATGAAGAGCTGTGAGCTGGTGGGCCCCTCCTGCCTATTCAAGCTGAAATCTATTTCATTCTTCTTGTACCTCACTCAAAACAGTGCTAACTGCTCTTGCTGTGAAGACAAGGAAGGTCCTCAACATGGGTGTCAAAATCCCCCTGCATAGGCACAGAATGGAGACGCAGGCTCTTGGCAGCAATATGAGAATTCAGGTTCAGTATTAAGCGGCAGTGAGCATGACTGCTCCAACCCTCTTGCACTCCTGGGCTGTGTCTTCAGAAGCACTGATCCGGAACGCAAACCTTGTAGGTTTGCTTGACTGTGACCCACAGTTTTACAGGAAACTGGGAGGGTCAAACGAGCGACTCACAAGGAGCGGTTGAGCCAAGATCCCAAACCTTCTTTCCAGAACCAGGACATGCTTACAATATTCTGACCCCATGGTATAGTTCTTAAGCAACTTCATGGAAAAAAGGGACAGAATCCAGCGACCAAAATTAATGTGTTAAGGATTCGAGTTCCCTTGTTGTATTTTGAGGATGCCATAAAGGAGGCCACATTCTATATCAGTACTGTGACATTTCCTCTGTATCTATTTCTTTATGATTCACAGCTGCACTGTCTTCTGTCTTTTCCACACTCTGCCATCAAAGTAACCTTCTCCCCAGTGCTAGCCTGTGTCCTGACCTTCTTTCTTCTTTTCACTCCACTTCTACAGCTGCAAAGACAAGAACTTTTCAGAGAGCTGGGAGGAGATTGGTCCCCAGTAGGACCTTATTTAGAGGGTAGACAGAAGGACAGCTGGGGACAATCACATATTTTAGGGACATTACAGCCATGCCCCAGTCATCTCCCTAGTGGTGCCAGTCTCTGTTTCTGCTCCAAGTTTTCCATTATCCACCCATGGACCCTAAGCCTTGCTATAGTCTGACCCGTGCTGACCTGTGTAGGCTCAATGTATACTGAATACCTTCGGTATACTAAGCCATGGGACCAGGTTTGACTTGTGTGTGCGAATCTGCTTTTTTAATAAGATGGGGACACCAGCCTGCTGCAGGATTGAGATAGCATGCATGGCAGTTCTTTGATAACAGCTGAGTACAAAATAATTGTAAGGCAATGGCGATAACTATTAGAATTCTTCCATGCCACCAATCCTGGAAAAAAAATTGTCACTTCACAAAAACTTGTAGCCCTTGCTTATAACTTGCTTACACTCTCATGAATGAATTTTCATTTTATCTTTTCTAGGTAAAGAAACTCCTTCCAAGGATCCAACTACATCGAGTGAGTGTATATGCTCATCTGAATACCAGGAAAAATGTTTCCTGCCACAGAACATGACTGCAGGTATCTAAATCCCAAAGACAAACTCTATTTCAAAAAATACTCTCCATGTAGAATATTTCAGTAACCTCCTTATCTCTCCCATCTACAGACTCCATCTCTCTTACCCCTTCCAGGAGCTGCCACGAAATGCATCTTCGTAAGCTTGACTGTAGCTACAATATTCACTTGCTCACAAATACTCCATTGCACTCCATTGTCTACGAGATTATTTCAAGCCTTCTCAGTCTGGCACTCAAATCCCTTCACAATCTGGCACATATCAGGAGTTCCATACATATTTGCTGTGTTAAGGAAAGTATGTCATAAATTAGATTTTCAGGTACTGGGGGACAGGGTAATTTTTGTTCATACATAATTGGTACTCAGAAAATGATAAGTAAGTATATATGAATTATTGAAAGAATATGTGGTGGTCACATCTATATTCTATATAATACCTAACACAGTACCTTATTGTAGTATTGAATAAACATTTATTAAATAAATAAATAAGCAAATGAAGGGTTGAATACGTGGGGTGAGATTGGCTGAGCAGAAGGGCATCTACATGAAACTTTCAGAAGCAGAAAAAGATTTTAAAATTAATGTGAAAAAAATCTTATTCCTAAAACCTGCCTCTCACGAAGTCCCCTTTGAGAGACCTTGATGAAGTCCATAAAGAGGAAATTGTCATTGGAGAAAGCTATGCCTGGGCTGCACCCTGGACCGGAAACTCTGAGGACAAACCTATAGCAGAGTTGGATTCTGTTGTACAAAGGAGGTGGCTATTGATTTGAGGGCAGATCGTGTGCCCAGCGATCCTGCCATGTTCTTCTCATACTCACGTGTTCACCTTGAGGTGGAGACACAAAGACCCCCATTTAGGAGGCGGGAAACGGTCTCAGAAGGGGAAATGACTTCACGGCCACACGGTTAATATGTGCTGACGAAGGTCCTTATTCACTTATTCATGACCATGATGCTCCTTTGTCCTCCAAAAATATACCTCGCCCTGGAATACAAAATAGAGATTTGTGAAAAAGATTTACATTATGAATATTTTAAAGACTATAAATCATATACTAGATATTGTATAAATGTCATACCAGGTTCTTTCTTTTCCCAATTTCAAATTCAAAACTGTCAAACTCCTTGGGTGGCAATGAGAAGAACCCTGCCCTTGGTTTCTGCCTTTTGTATCAAGGTGCTTATCTGTCTGTCAGGTTGGGCCACCCCTGAAAAAACCTGAATTACCATCTGCTGTTTCACGAACTCGGCGGAGTCAGCATTTTGCCTTATCAATGCATGAAGGCCAATGAACAAAGAGTATCTGTAGATGAAACTGAGCAGACCTCGGGCTGAGCTTGTCCGTCCTTCAGCGGTTTCCACCCCGCTGATGTTTCTAGGAAGGTCACGGAGTGAGGAGGGGAGACTCGGCTCCCGCTGCCAACTGCTCCTTTATGCAGAACAGTCGCAGACAGAATCAATCAGACGCATCATCGTGATTACAGGGCAGGCTTCCAGAAGGATTAAAATGTGACCCAGTATACTTTGCACTAAAACTGGAGTGAACTGGATTTACTCCCCACTCAGCGATGCAGAGCACTGTGGGATCCCACCGTGGGCACAGGTGTCCTGCTCTGAGTATCGGTTCTCGCTGTTTGAGAACTCAAAAGCAGTTGGCTTATTTAAGCCCAGGTCTTTTGAGATTCATATATATGGCAAGGAGGGGCACACTGAAGGGGCTATCCGTCAGCAGGGGCTATTCCAAGAGAGATTCCAGAGGGGAGTCTGGATCAGGTTTTAGACAGATGCGAGAGACGGGATTTGGAGGAAAGAACCAAATGAGGGCAGTAATTGCTGGAGTGGGGGAGGGGGGAACTGCTAATGCTTAATGTGTTTATTGAACATTTACTATGTACCAGGCACTGAGAAAATATGTTTATATGCACAGCGTCATTTAGTAAGCCCCTTAGAACCCCTATGGGTTTTGCTAATGGAGAAAGTCAAGCGTAGAGAGGCAATTAACTGTTCAGGTGGCACAATTATTGAGTGGTAGAGTGAAGCCTTAAGCCCGCGTCTGTGTGACTCCTCCCTGGGCGTTGTCTTTACGCTGGGCCTCCTCCTAGTGATCAGCGTGCTGTGAGGCTACCGGATGGAGGGCTGGACAGGGGTTGCTGAAAATGGAGGGGTTGCATGAAATCGGAACACAGATCAGGGAGGAACTTAGTGGAACAAACATCCACTCGAAATTCACATCAAAGTGAAGTCATTTGTGGATGTCATAAAGGAGTTGGCCTGCAGCCACAGCATTGTCAGGACTTCTGGGTTAAGGACAGGCCTTTTAAAGGTAGGAGCTCAGGGCTGCCTTGAGCATGATACGGACTGTCTCTAATGTGCTCAGGCACTTGTAAGGTCCTGGCAAGTTGGAGCTGGAACAGAGACCTCTGCGATTGTCGAGTCCAGTGCCTTTTGGTTTATTGTGTTGGATGATTCTTAACAGGTTGCTACTTACTATCTAAAGAAGACACATTGCAAAGTGCAATTATAAGATAAACCTCCTCAGTGTGGCCTTTCTTGACAACACTATCCAAAGTCATACCCACCCCCTAGCTACTTCATCCTTCTGTCTCTTAACCCTCTTGAGTTTTTTTTTAACAGCACTTTTCTCCATCCAAAACTATTGCATTTATGGAATTACTTGCCAAGTAGAATACAAGCTCCATGAGAACAGGGACCATGTCTGTCTTGTTCTCTGCTGTAACCTCGGCACCTAAAACAGCTGCTGGCTCATGGGAGCCTCTCAATAAGTCTTTGTTAAGTGAACGTGCATTTTGAAGAACTTCAAGATAGATTTTAATACACTAAGTACCCTGCCAAACAGTAATAAATGCAGTATCAGAAACAAACTGGTTAGAGAAAATGTATGTGGGTTTGTATAATTCATAAAATATGTCTATTACATATTATAAATTTAATATGTAGATACATTTACTTAAATACGGGTAAAGTAGTATTCATTCAGAACTTGCACAAATCATCCGCAAGAAGCAATAAATGTGCTGGCTGGTTCTGTGTCAGTGCCAGGCAGTGCAGGAATAAACCCAGCACGAGGCAGAAAGAACCAATGTGAGCATCACCTGAGATTCCAGAGCCATCCCGGGCGTCAGTATTCCCCTCCCCATTACCTCTGGGGAAAACGGTTTAAAGGGGCATTCAGAGGAATGTTACTCTAATCTCTAATTAGTGAGGACACCAATTTTGGGTTTAGGTGAACATGTAGGGGGAACATTGGAGATTTAACTAATTCTTTGTTTGTTTGTTTGTTTTTTGAGGAGAAGGAAAGAGGAGTTTATTAATTCGCTGGCAGAGGAGACTGGCACGCTCCCGTATCAAAGTAATGGTGTCCTCTCTTCCTTTTTATTGCATTTCCAGCCTGATCCTTCTCCCTCTGTTCTCTTTGAGATCTGACGCTCTCTTTCTGCGTGAAGAGCCGCTCCAGGAGGTGTGTAAATGGACCCTTGCACGAAGCAGCCCGGAGGCGCCTCTGGGCGCTGGAGAATGAGGACCAGGAGGTGCGAGCACTGTTTAAGGTGAGCGCTGGAAGCTGGAAGCAGTCTGGGTGCGGGGCTTGTGTCCCTCTCTAGCACCTAAGACAGCGCCTGGGACAAAGTGGCCCCTCAAGAAAACATCTGCCTGCCAAACAGACTAACTGAATGAATGATTATATACACACTCTCTGCTTAGCAGGAAGGGGCAGCAACTCCGAATGGGGCAACCTGGAGTTGCTGAGTCAGAGAAGAGTTGGTTTTAAATCTGCTACTATTAGTTGCATGACCTTCGGGGAGTTACTTAACCTCTGCAGAATGGAAATCATTATAGCACTACTTCATCATGTATACTTTTTTCCTGATGGGATGATTTTGAATTTTATTTTATTTTTTACTGGGATGGAATATATATAACATAAAATGTTAATCGTTTTTAAAGTGTACGATTCACTGTGGCATTAAGTACATTCACAGCTTATTCATCCCCAGAACTTTTTCATCACTGCAAACTTAAACTCTCCCCATTAAACCAGAACTCTCCATTATCCCCTTTCCCCTGCCTCTGGTAACCACTAAATATATTTTTTTAAAGTACCAAAATTGTCAATCAAAAAGCAATGACTATAAATGTTAGGATGAGAGGAAGAAAAGACAATAAAGTAGATAAACCAATTCCTCATTTTTCCTAGTGGGTAGATGATATCTTCAACTGTAAAACCCAGGAAGAAGGGTGAGATCAAATTATTTACAATTTAGGAGGTACTCACTAGCAGGATTAAAACCACGAATGGATAAAAGTTGTTGCAACTAGAGGTAGAGGAAGGAGAATATTGCTTTACATATGCTCTAGTTATTTTTACAGCCTCTGCATTAATCTGGTACAAATTCAAAGACGAAAAGTACTCTAAATGTCATGCAGCAAAAAAGATAATGTCTGGCTTTTCAGGAGGAGAAAATGAGATAGTATCTGCAGAAAGCTTGGCATGGTGTTTGGCGTGGTATGTCCTCCATAAATAGTAGCTAAGGGTTTTTAAGTTTTATTTTATTAATCTCTGGAATTCAGGATCTTGGAGATATTGGCTGCTAATTGCTACCATAGATTTTCCTTTGTTTAGCGTGGCATCGCTCTTAACTGGAAGCATTTATTTTCTTTCTTGGAGTTGCATAAAATAATGGCACATTTTATAATCAATGGCATCTTAGGTTGCTTGCAAGAGCTGGCCTCCTGGGCTGAGGCTTGAGATGGGCAAGCTTGTGGGCTGAAGCTGAGGCCTGGAGTCAGCTGGATCCGAGATCTAATCAACTACTCTTTTTTTTTTTTTTTTTTTATTTCAACATATTATGGGGGTACAGATGTTTAGGTTACGTATGTTGCCCTTGCCCCCCTCACCCAAGTCCGAGTTTCAAATATGTCCATCCTTCGGGTGGTGCGCATTGCACTCTTTGTGTATGCAAATACCCGTCCCCTCCTTCCTCCTTCCCCCTCCCCCCTGCCCCCTGCCCAGGTGCCATTGGGCCAGTTAGTTAACCTCTCTGTGCCTTGACTTCCTTGAATACGAAACAGGGATAAAGCATTTTTCATTAGATCTAAGATGCCATTGATTATAAAATGTGCCGTTATTTTATGCAACTCCGAGAAAGAAAACAAATGCTGCCAGTTAAGAGTGATGCCGCACCTCCTCATCTTGTATTTCAGAGGTGGTCAAGTGGGATAAAAGCACATCTTAGAAGGGATTAGATACTGTCGTTGCATTCTCTTCATAGGGCTGTTGTGGGAGTTAGATGAGGTATTGTTCATAAAGCTCTTGGTGCAGCGCCTGGCACGTAATAAATTCTCTGTAAATCAATTTCACCTGGCACCCACCCCTTCCCTGATTATGGGATCTGTATCCGCCAAGGATCTGGGGCCTCCTGGGATCTGGGGTGGTGGAACCTCAGAGTTCCGACTTTGCTGAACCAGGGGCTCTTCCTTCGGATTCTTATACCCACTTCTCCTTCCCCTAAGTTTCCCTCCTGATACCACTTGGGAAGTTGGTGTTGATGGCAGGACCTGGCCTGGGGGAGGGATGTTCTCACCGTCTCTAGTTATAGTCGACTCCAGGGGCTTGGACAAGCAACAGAGATTTAGGGGAAAACCAGTTTGGCAGTGATTCAGGCCTGTTTTTTCAGGTATTAGAAAAATTAAAAGAGGCTTTCAGGCCTCCTCTTGCTCTGCTTGCGAGCATGTAAATCAGAACGCCTTTCTGGAGGGCAGCAGGGTGCCTGCATTTTAGGATTGGAAATGTGCACGCTTGTGTTCCCAACGGTACTTCTTAAAATCACTTTTGTCAAAACAATTAAGGATGTGCACAAAGGATGTTTATTGCAGTGCCATTTAGGATGCTAAAAAGTATAAAACTGTCCAAATGTGAAACCATAAGGAAATAAGAATCAATTATGTTGAGTGCAAAAATGGCAAAGGCAACCATTAAAAATAATGTAGACTACTTAATGATACAGGAGACTGTTCATAAAATATTTTTTTAGCAACAAAAGATTGTAAAATAACTTATGTAATATGATTCTATTTATGTAAAATAGTTCTATGGAAACTTATGTAGCTAAAAAGATTCCAAGTTAATACATGAAGGTGTTAACATTGGTGATGTCTAGGAGGATGGATTTGGGATGATTTTTTATTTTTATGTGCTTTGGTTTTTCTGTTTGTCAGCTTTATAAAAATAATCATTAGACACAGATTCACAATCAAATTTGCTTCCAAGATGCCTTCTATGAATCATCCTCTACTCTCCCCCACACACTTTTTGCCCCCACAAAAAGTAGCATTCTCTGTACGTAGTTCCGCACCCTGGCTTCTTTTGTCGCTGTAGTTGTACAGCAGTGTTATATTTGGAGCCTGTATCCACACAAAGAACTTCTGCCTTCTTTTTTGTGGCTGTATAATACCATAATATTTCACTGTATGGATAAATTGCCCTCCCTTTTACCCAGTCTCCTGTCGATGAATATTCAAGTTGTTCCCATCTGCGTGTGTGTGTGTGTGTGTGTGTGTGTGTGTATGTGTGTGCGTGCTCATGTAAAAATCAATGCCACAATCAAGAAGCTCCTACAAAGCATTTGGTGCATATATGGGCTTGCCAAGGGGACACTTCTGTCATCCTAGGGTGACTTGTTGTTCTCTTTGCTCAGGACCTCTCCGCAAGGCTGGTCAGTATACAGTCCCAGAGGGCCCAGTTCCTCATCACCTTCAAGACCATGGAGGAAATCTGGAAGTTCTCCACCTACCTTAATTTAGGTATGAGACAAAGCAGGTGGGTGGAGGAGGATCTACTTCACAGTTAGCCAGTTGGTAGGGCTTGACATTAAGGAATTGCTCTGGCTCTGATAATTAAAAAAGATAGAGCCCTAAGATTAATGGTTAACGTCTGGAATATCACACACTGCCTGAAACTAAGTCTAAAGCAAATATTAACTCTTACTCTAAAATGCCCTATAAAGAAGTTCGCTTCTTTGCGTCCAGGGAAATCTTTCTTTATTAGATAACTAATCACTTGGCAAACAGTTATTGGCTCTCTACTAAATTCAAAGTATTGAGATAGATGTGAAATTGATTTTTTTAAAACAGGGAACTAATCTTGAGTGAGATCAAAGTAGCTGCTTGAAATAGTAAAGTTCTAGATGCTTTATCCCATGTATTTGGAAAAGAGTCAAAGAAAGAGATGAGATTATCTGCTTATAGCAGCCTTGGGAGGCAATGTTTTCTAGAAGGTAAAGAAGGACATTGGGGCACAGCACCAGCACCATGGGGGTGGGAAATGGCTCACCTGCCTTTCCAGAGAGAAGATCTGCTGATAGGGCGGTTACAGTTGCAAAGCAAAGCCAAGCAAAGCAAGAGGCCACCTGATTGGATGCTGGTTTTACGTCTCCCAGAAAATGCTGGATTCCATGTACGGTACTCAGGGAGAGATACTGTGCATCTCTGCATATCTCCTTCTGGACCATTAGAGATCCTCACTATTCAAACTCTGCTCCATGGACCAGTTGCATGGGCTTTATATAGGCCCTGCTATAACGGTAGAATCTCAAGCCCTACCCCAAACCTACTGAATCAATATCTATATTTTAGTAAGATCCCCAGGTGATTTGTGTGCACATTAAAGTTCAAGAATTGCAATTATAGAAGATACACAAGTGTTAAGTCAGCACAACGGACAGTCAGAATGGAAAGAGACAGGTTTTTGCATCGTAAGAAAAAGAGGAAGCCTCAAAAGAAGAAACATTTTAATACAAACAATTCATATTTATAGGCATGTTTAAAACACTATACATAATTATTATAAGTATACAATTTACATGGTTTTTAGTCTGCTTTTAACAGGAAAGAGCTTACTAGCATTGCAGAAGGGGCAGGGGCAGAGTGTGTGTTGATATGTGGAAGCCAGTCCTGACTCCTTCGTGGGCCCTGGAGCCCCTCTCAGCCACTGAGTCATCAGGAGCACAGGAATTTGAACCTCAGGTCAGGGGGACTTGAGGGGATACTACGAACCCCCAGAGTCAACCCGGTTAACTTGGAGACCTCCATGGATGTATTAGGACAAGGCAGTTGGGTTTGGTCATCTCATGCATTTATGGAGACCCACAATAGGTTGAAAATGGTAAATATCATTTAAAAGCGACTTATATCTCCCAACAGATGCTGAGAAGAATGAATTCATTCTAGAAAATATCTAGCTACCCCTCTTATGCTATTCTACTTGCAGTTAAATGGCAGGTGGGGAATCTGTTCCTCCTGGGTTCAGGGGGGAGCTTGCTCACCTCTTCCGTGCTCAGCTAATGGCAGGGATCATTTTGCTCAGGAATCTTGTTGGCTTGACTTCCTAGGCTACGTGTCCACGTGTCTGGAGCATCTCCTCTTCGACCACAAGTACTGGCTCAACTGCAGATTGGTGGAGGACACAGAGATCCAAGTGTCCGTGGATGATAAACACCTGGAAACAATTCACCTGGGACTCCTGATACAGGAAGGTGAGTGGGTGTGGGGCTGGGGCTGGGGTCTTATCTGGATATTTGCTATCCAAGGCCCTGAAATAAGTAGGACATAAAGGGAGGCAAAGGTCATTCAAACATGAAATTGTCACCAGTGAACCCACCTATTATAATAGTACTCTGAACATTCCAACTAATTCAACACTGACACCACATGAACAGCTGTGTGGGTCAGTCTCACTGAGTGATGTTACAACTGCTTGGGGAGCTTTACAAAGATGCCCATGCCAGATGCCCATGCCAGTTAATGCCTAAGTTCATTAATTCTCCAGGGGTGGGGGCCCAAGCATTGGCACGGTCTGGAAAGTTTCCCACGTAATTCTAATATGTATCTAAGATTGAGAAACACTTCTCTAAACATGTGATATAATTTGATTGTAAAATAAACATGCAAATCTTGCAAAACTTGAAATATTTCATGAAATCGAGGAAAGTGATGTTGAGGAACCCCTTTGAACACCCCCTGATCTGTTTACAAGTGAGGATCCCATCAAGGTCACCACCCACCAGTTAACAACCGAAGTGGACAAGCCTGATGACATAACAGACACATTGAAAGAGCAAGATTTGAATATGATATTTTTGCAAAAATGATTATGATTGCATGGCACGAATCATGTATGAAGACAAGAATTTCATATTGTGCTATTATGAAACTTTATTGGAATAATGACATTCACCCAAATCAATTTATTTTCCATTGGTTCTAAGATTAAGCATGAAGTTGCAATTATAAATGAAACTCTGTGAAACATAAACATATTTTTGTAACTTTTTATTTCATCTCTTTCTCAAGGTAAAGTCCCAATTAAGCCTTATTCTCACAAATTACTCAGAAATTTTGGTGTCTGTTCTAAGAAAATTCCCTTTCAGTGGCTTTATTCTTTGTACCAGTTTTCCTGGGATCCCAAGGACCTCTTGCGGTGCCTGCCCTGGACTGCCCCCTTACTCCCGGGAAGAACAGTATTCGGGCTCTGGATAGACACGTTGCGTTGTGTGATAATCCCTTTTCACTTCCTGCCGCTCCTCAGAAAGCCGCTGCTTTTCTCATCACCTGCAGGCCAGTTCTTCTGCAGAGCCACGTTCTCCGTGGCTCAGCCACCTGAGAAGGAAGGAGAGTGTTTGGCCCTTTGCAAGGACGAGTTAATCTCGGTGAAGACAGCTGAAGGAGGGTCCGAGTGGGAAGGTGTGTCCTTGGTGACGGGCCAGCGGGGCCTGGTGCCGGTGTCAGCCTTGGAGCCCCTGCCTCTCCCTTTCCACCAGTGAGTAGCCACCTGTCTCCGGGGAGAGGGTCTCCGAGCAGACTGAGGTCCGCACAGAACAGAGCAGGCACGCTTTCATGTGGCGGCCACAGCGCGGGGGAGAGAACAGAATCTGGGTGGCCTTTTGTCTTTCTGTATTTTTTTTTTTTTTTTTTTTGACAGAGTCTCACTCTACTGCCCTGAGTAGAGTGCCGTGGCGTCAGCCTCGCTCACAGCAACCTCAAACTCCTGGGCTCAAGCGATCCTCCTGCCTCTGCCTCCCGAATAGCTGGGACTACAGGCATGCGCCACCATGCCTGGCTAATTATTTTTTTCTATATTTGTTTTTAAGTTGTCCATCTAATTTCTTTCTATTTTTTAGTAGAGACAGGGTCTCGCTCTTGCTTAGGCTGGTTTCGAACTCCTGAGCTCAAACAATCCTCCCGCCTCGGCCTCCCAGAATGCTAGGATTACAGGTGTGAGCCACCGTGCCCGGCCTGTATTTTTTTTTTTTAACAGTCAAGGTTTGCACAGTTTGACGAAATTGGAGATAACTCTAAATTTCAGATGGACAGTGTACCTAGGAGGAAATATACCACCTGTCCTCTAATGCACTGTTTCTTAATGAATAGACTGGGGACCAATTGTGTCAGCATCGCCATGGATTTTACTATAAATTTAGACTCCCTGGCCCTCCTCAGACTCTTTTAGGGTTAGGTCCAGGAATACGTTTTTTAAATAAGCGCCCTAGGGAATGTTTTTCACACTAAAGTTTAAGAAGGCCTGCTGGAAGACATTGCAAACTGCAAAATATAGTGTGACAATGAACACGATCCCAGGCTGTGGACGCCGGGCGTGGCTCTGGCAGAGAATCTGACCGTGTGAATGTAAAGGGACTGTTTGTTAGCTATTTAACTGACTAATTGCAGAGCCAGAAAACAGCACAGGTCTGCTGAACTTCTCTCCTTGTCACAGTGCTCGGTATAAAATTCCCAATAAATGTTTGCCATCATTAGGATATGAGAAATAACAATACTTACCATCCTCATCATCATTCTAACAGACTATTCTGTTCATTGCTGTAATTTTTTGAAATCCCTGTTTGCAAACCCAATGTTTCCATTGGCAGATGGTTCCTAAAGAATTATCCAGGAAGCTGTGGCCTTTCCAGGAAGAGGGATTGGACAGGCTCCTATCAGATCGGTACGGCTGAGTCGAAAACATAGTATTGTTAGGAAGATAATGTTGTCCTGCTTCCTAATTTTATCTGCAGGTTTGGACTCGGTTGATGTGAATTCCTGTCTCGCCTCTGCTACCGACTGCGTTTAAGGAAGCCAGTTTCTGTGTGTACGCGTGGGTTTCCCTGCTTGGGACATGAGAGGTCTCAGTCCAGGGCTGCAGACACGAATGTCTGCAGGGCAGGCAGGACGCACAGATGCGTGGAATGGCAGGGATGACAGGGATTTAAAGATATATGGGTGAAAAAAAAAAAAAAAGGCTGGTGTGGGCCAAATTAAATGTTTTGTGAGCCAAATATGGCCTGCAGGCTGCCGGTTTTCAATCTCTGGTCAAAACATTTTCTAATTTCCCTTAGAGTTTTGTGAAATTAACCTCGAATTTAGGAAGAGTAAGAATGCCTGGCACATAGTGGGCACTCAACAAATATTTGCCAAACAAATGAATGCAATATACTCACATGCACAGATAATTTAGGTAATCTCTATCTGTATGTGTGTATACACATACACATCTGTAAGTGCCGTGTGTATGCATCTACTGGATAATAAAGTCCAATATTTTTTAGGTATCTGTAACATACCTTCCTTTCATCTTCATCTTTAGAGTCCCCCTCACCTCCTGCCGCACATCTCTAGCACAGCTTTACAAGTTCTGAGCCCAAATAACACTTACAAACAGAAATAGCAGGAATTATGGAACCCAGACATCAGATCGAATTAATTATTGATGACAAACAAGTCTTTAGCTTTCTGAGGCAGTTCAGCCTTGTAGTTAGGAATGTGGGGCTTTGAAATCTGTTCTGGGTTCAAATTCTGACTCCACAGCTTAGGACCTGTGTGACCTTGGCCAATCCACCTGCCCTCACTCTGCCACATCTTCCTCATTCGTCAAACGATACCATAAAACCAGCTTCTACGTTGTCATGAGAACTAAACAAAGTGCCGTTTGTAAATCACTTAGCGCAGTTTCTTGCACATGGTAGATATTTAGCACGTGGTGGATCCTATTAACCCACAAATGGGAATTTCTGATCCTGAAGACACAGTCAATAGAAACTTGACAAAAATGTGAGAAAAAAAAAAACTAAGCCAGTAGCTTTCGCAGAGAAGTGAAAGCAAATTAGGAAACTAAGCACGTAAAAGCCATTCTTTGCAGCAGAGCAGGATTCGTGGAAAGAGGGGTTAACCGGCAGTCAGAATGGTTAAGTTCTTGACCCAGTTTGGCCACATATAAGCTCCTTAGGCAAATCACGTACCCTGCCTGTGCCTCCACTTTCTAATCTATGGCAAGGGGGCTTTGCTATCCCTGCCCTGTAGGGCTCTTGGGAAGATCTGAGAAAGTGAATCTAAATGTACTTTGTAAACTGGACACTTCAACACACAGAAAAAGGCCATTACTAGATCCTAGTTAGGCAACTTAGCAAACTGTATAGTTACCATAGCCCGGGAGGAGAGTCTTTCAGATCCTTCTGGGTCATCAGTAGCTTTTTTATTCCACCAACGATAATGAGGCTAACATTTACTGAGGGTTGACTAGGTACCAGGCATTGCGCACTTTATCTTTTTGATTCCCCCTAATATTTACAAGCATCAGGTATTCTTATTATCCCCATTTTACAATTGGGGAGACTGAGGGTCAGAGTGGCCCAAGGAGCTGGAAATTCATGTAGAGATCCTCTGGTATAATGATTTGCACAGGCTGGTCTATGGATTTGTGCCAACCGTGACACAGTGTTTACATAACAGTGGCAAAGTCAGACAAGCCAGGACAATGTCGTGAGCTTTCCACTTTTCCATAAGCTATGTTTGTTCAGTTTTAATGTGTAGCCAGCATTCTGAGAATATCTTTCTTGTGTTTGTTAAAACATCTTTCCTTTTATAAAACAATGGAAAGTGCATTGTAATTCTTTTTAAAAGGTCCTAGTTTGCCAAAATGAAAAGCCAATTGCGTTGTGTCATTTCTGCCAATTTTGTGTGTGTGTGTGTGTGTGTGTGTGTGTGTGTGAAACTTTACTGGCCCTTGAAATCCTAATGTCTGCGAAACCCTCATTTCACGTCCCATTGGAAGGTAGCAGAAGGCTCAGCCGTTCGTGCCGTATGTAGTCGACCTGTGTGCTCCTTCCCACAGGCAGAGGACGATGTAAGGCCTTGAAGGATCGTGAGTCGGGAGAAAAGGATGAACTGAGTTTCCGCCGGGGAGAAAGCATCGAGATCATCGGCTTTATCATACCTGGGCTCCAGTGGTTCATTGGAAAGTCGATGAGCTCGGGAGAAGTGGGCTTTGTTCCCACCAGGGACGTAGATCCCGATTCTTATTCCCCATTGTGAGTGTGACAGTGAGTATGTCATGGAGCTGGGCTGCCTTCCCCGGGGGTCCCTCCCTATTCTGAGCAGATCTTCAGGTGATCTCCAGGGGGGCCCTGGTAACACGGAGCCAGACGAGTACCTTTTGACAGCCAAGGCTGACACAGTGAGGGATGGGGGGGTGGTGATGAGCGTGTGGTCAGGGAATGGGTCAGTTCCGTTCATTGCAACTGATGGTCACTGCGGCCTTCCTCTGAGCAAGGAGAGGCACAACCCCGAGACACAGGGCCTGCTGTTAGGCACCGAGGGTGAAGTCTTGGTGCTTGGATCCTGCCTCTTACACCATCCAACCAAAGGGCCCCATCAAGGAAAGGACAGGCACAGAGAGCAACAGATTCCAACTCGGTGAGCGGACATTCCCCTTCCACGTGGGACTGGGGGGTTGGTCTCACGTAGGTCTTCCATCATTCAGCTTTCAAGCTAAAAGCTTAGTGTGTGAAGTCCACGTCGGCTAGGAGAGCAGAGTGCGTCCTTCACTCTTCACTGCCTGGAACCCAGAGGGCTTGCCCTGAGGAGCAGACCTATGGGCCTGGCCAACCAGCAGATGGCCAGCCTGTCCCACCCACGCTGTCATGGAGGGGCAGCGAGTGGGGATACTGCCAGTGTCCCTGAGATGGGCTTCCTGCACGGGGACAGGAAACGGTAGGAGCCTGTGAACTTAGAATGGTACTTGGCACAGCGAGTGTGTGTGATCAGTAGGCGTTAGCTCTTACTGTTCCTGTTCTTGTCATTGTTGTGCATGGTCATCTTTGAGAGGCAGTTTTAATAGGATATCGGGGGCAAGTGAATCAGATTTCATAAAAGACTTCTGCACCTTACACCTTGCCCCAAATGACAATAACTCAGTACCACCATATTAATTATCACATTTTAGCTGGCTTAGTGGTAAGGGGTACACTGTCACACTGAATAGCAGCATCCTCTGTGTCACATGAGGTGGCAGTACGACTTTCTCCTTATTTCCACAGTGTCATCTGCTGGCCTGCACCTGGTCAGCTGTGGGACCCAAAGCACCAGAGATTGCACATTTGGTACAGAAGGGGAAGATGAGCCAGGAAACAGGAAGGGGTCAAAGAAGAAGAGAGGAGAACTGGCCCCTTTTATACCCCTCAGAACACTCTCTAGATAATAGACATCCCTGAAACACAGCCATCAGGGGATAGATTTTGAGCTCGGAAGAATGACAGCCAAACAGCCTGGAGGTCTATGCGCTATTCCCTTGTCTGACCACTGGGGGGCACTCTTAGCCTGTGTTCGTTTGGTGTTGCGTTTCAAAGGTCTCAGCATTTGCTGAAGTCTCCATTCTCTTCCTGTAGGTTCTCTCCTTGTGCTCGTATATTACTCCCTAAAGTGTGTGTGTGTGTATATATTTAAATACGTAAGTTAAAAAATAAGTAATATTGATAAATTAATGTACTTAAACCAGCAAAAAGAACATAGGAGAAAAGCCAGTATTTTATAGTATTAAAATTTAAAAAATTATATTTTTGTTACATCCCTCTTTTATTCTTTATATTGTTTATCTGTGTCTGCCTTATAACTTAATTTCTTGTGGGCATCTATTTTTGTTGATGAGAATTTTGTTGTTAGTGTCATAGCCACCTCTTTGCAGGTAAGCAGTCTTTTTCTTACTGGTTGTCTTTTTTAAAGATTTTCTTTCTGTCATTGATGTATTACAATTGTACCATTATATGTCCAGATGTGATATATTCTATTATACTTTTATAGCAAATTGTCTACTTCCTTCTTCATAAAGTGTATCATTTAGTCATTATTTCAGTGGAGATTTGTGGGTTACAAATATTCTCAATCTTCAATATTTGTTTGTCTTAAATATACTTAAAATAGATTCTTGAATGATAATTTAGCTAGGTATAGAATAGTATCTTCAAAATGTGGAGGAAAAATAACTATTCATATAAAATTCCAAATCCATTTTTCCAGGGATTTGTCCAATTTATTAGTCTTTTCAGAGAATCAGTTTTTCTTTTGTTGACCATCTTTATTGTTTCTTTATTTTCTATCATAACATTTCATTAATTAGAGCATTTACCTTGATTATTTTCTTCTACTTTTTTGTTTTCATTTAATTAATTTATGTTCTTATCTTTTATATTTAAATCTTTTGTCCCATGAAATTGAACAGTTAAGTAATATATAATTGAACCTAGAAAGAAGGATTAAAAGAAATAGACAAATTTTAAGACCTATAACCTTAAACAAATGGACATTTTGTTAAAAATGATATTTTTATTTATTTTGCTCAGGACTTGGTGTGCTTTTGCAATCTGAAGACTCATGCCTTTCTTCAATTCTGGAAAATTCTCAGTCATTCTTCCTTTGAATATTGCTTCTCTCTCATTCTTTTTAGTCTCTCTTCTGGAATTCCTGTTAGAGGTATGTTGGACTTATTCTATCCTCAATCTCGCTCAATTAGTTCTTTTATATTTTTCATCTTTTTGTCACTCTAGGATACATTCCGGTTGATTTTCTCAACATGATCTTCAGTTTCACTAGTTCTCTCCTCTGCTATGACTAAACCTGCTGTTTAACCCATCCATGTAGTCTTTAATTTCCATGCTTTTATTTTTCATTTCTAGACTTCGTATTTTGCTATTTTTCACATGTGGTCATTTCCCCTCATGATGTTTCATCTTTTCATTGTAGCGTTTATTTATTCTTTTTATTTCATTGTTTTAACCATGTTTATTGTAAGTTATTCTTCAGATACCGTCATTTCTAGTTTTTGTAGTGTTAATTAACCAATTTGTGCATCTGCTGGTTCTCTTTGTGATTAGTTCTTTTTCTTGTGCAGTTCATAGTTTTTGTTATAGGAACTAATTTTCATCATTTTAAAAGGTGGACTTTGCATGAATCCTGGACTGAAGAAAACCTCCCTGCAGAGGAGGTTTTGCATTTGCTTTTCCTGGAATCTTAGGAACTCATGATCCAGGGCAGACTTTTCAATGTTAAGTTCATTGAAAGTGGTGTCTACACCGTGCAGTGCAAATTCAGATCCCACACCTCCCTGTGGCATAGGCCTAGCTGTTTGAGTTTTTCTTCCAGGGACTCCGAGGGATGGAGAGTGTGTTCTGGGCAGGTAGGAAGAAGTTTCCCAATCCCCTCTTTATGAGAGTTTCAGCCTTTTTAGACTCCAGGCTTTATGTGGGGAGCTTAATTCAGCTCCCTGCTTCACACAGATCCAAAATCACATCTCCTGCCCCAGGGGCGGGGGGGCATTATAAGGTCACGCCCAGCTCTGAGGGTCGACGTCCTAAATGAAACTTTCAGGGTCTTTAGACATCTGCTCTCACCTACCAACCTGAATTTGGTTTCTCCTTTTGTTTCTGGCTCCTAGAGATTTCCCTTTCTTTCTTTAAAGTGAAAGTATGTATTCAAGTATCCATCTTTGTTACATTTATCCAGGATTTTTCTGTGTGTGTTGGGGAGAGTAGCTCCCGTAGAGCACTTCAGCCTGCCAGATTGCCAGGAGCTTTGCCATATTCTTCTAACCCAGGTTTCATGTTTGGAAATCCCTCACGTAACCTGTCCAGCTTCCCAGATTCTCTCTAAATACCTGGAACTTGGACGGTAGCAGATGAGCTGTGAGGCCGTGGGCACGAAGGTAGAAGTCCTCCCGTTTCCGTCTCAGCGTTACCACTTTCTAGCTGCGCAATTCTGAGCATGTCCCTGAACCTTTCTGAACTGATTCTTTCATCTACAAACATGGATTTTTAAAATTCACCTCATAAGGTTGTTATGAAGAGTAAATGATGTAGTAAATTTAGGAACACTTTGTAAGATTTAAGAGTTCTACAAAAATGTGGGATCATCATGTTTTATTTTTTTTTAATCCCAACCGAATTTAGTTGTAGATTTCAGTTACGTGCTGTTTTGGGGCTGAGGCTTTCACGGTGCTGGGAAGAACCTGGAGATCAGGCCAGAGAGCTGGGGGCTCAGTAAATGTGGTGGGAAGAGCCCTGGGCCAGATGCCAGGACATGGCTCTAGTGCCACTTCAGCCACTAATTAGTGGTGTGACCTTGAGCAATTCATATAAGCTGCTAGTTTTCTCTTCTTTGGCTTTCAAACCGCATTTATCTGAACTTTGGGAACAAATGGTAAGTGGCCGACCACAGCACCCCCGTCCCATCCTGTCCCTGAACCCTGCTTTTAGAGAAGCTCTTCTTATGTCCTGCTATACCACTCCCTAAGCACTGACTTCATTTTGCTATGCCTCAGTTTATTTGCCTGTAAAAAGGGGATAAGAAGAGTGGAGCCTCACACAGCAATTGCATGGATTAACCGAGACAACAGTGTCTGATTCATCATAAACATCCCCAAAGTATTAGCTGTTATTAACTCTTGGGCTTCCAAGCCAATTTTGTTTTAAAAAATGGATTCTGACATAAAATCATCTCTGTTTAGATCTGAAATAATGTTCAGACGGATACTGGATTTTATCTATCTGAACTTCCAGTTTCCAAGGCATGCCTAGTTTCCAAATTATTTAATTCTATAACAAATCTTCGGTAAGCAAATTAGTTTTAACAATTAGTTTCTACAACAAGGTGAGTATAAAGAACTCTATTATTTATAATCATTTCTTCCCCCTGACCCTTCTTTTACCCACTTCCCATTCCTTAGCAATTTATTAATGTGACATAAACGTGTTCTATGTCATAGAATCACATCTCAACAATTGTGAAAGATTCCTTCTAACCATAGGCAAACTTTCTTCATTGTTCATCCAGATTATATCACCTATCCCTAACTTTTTCTTGAAATAATCTAGGGACAAAGAAACTTCTTTTAATGGTCTCTCTTCAACCCTTACATTTAGGGGAACGAATTCCTCTTTCTTCTATTAAAAATGGGCACCATGTGGTCCCAAAGAATGGGTCGAGGTTGAGAGAAGGGGCTTTGTTTTTCTTGGGAGATGAAGTTTTAAAGGAGGGGTGTCTTCACCCCCACTTCGATCTGCTTGGCAACCACCCTGCTTGGTTCTCCATGCATGAGGTGCTGGCAGCTCTCCTGCCTTGGCGGTGTAAGCACAGGGCGAGAGTGAGCTGAGGAGTCCAATTTCAACTGTGAGCAAATGGGTCGATGGCTTCTCGACGTCCTTCACTACCTCCTAGTGCAGAAAGAAGAACGGATTGAGTCCGAAACCTTGCACCGATCGGGCTTTACGTGTTTTGCAGAAGCAGGAACTCCGCCTTTCTCAGCGATGAGGAAAGATGCTATCTGTGGGCCCTGGGCAGCGACAGGAAGGCTGAGTGTGCCAGCTTTCTCCACACCCTCGCTCATACTGATATCACATCCGTCTACCGGCTCAGTGAGTGTTGTCCTCAAACCCCCTTGAGAGCTTGTCTCAGGCTCCTTGAGATTAAGAGAGTGTCCCTAACCAGGAATAAAAGACCTCTAAATTCTAATCCCACTCATGAATTTGGGGCCATGGCCACCATGCAGTTGATGACCTGGATCTTATTTCATGAGCAGCATTTCACTTTAGATTTCAGATAATTCTTGGGTTGCACGGGACACGTTGCCTAGAAACTATAAGATAGGATGAAATCAACTCACCTATACCAAGGGTAGGCAGCTGTATTGGGCCTTCCATCCTAATCTGGGGGAAGAAAACCTTCCTGAGTCATTGCTGAGGTCCCTCCTTCTAGGGCTGGAGTAGGTCCCCAGTGACAAAAGTGGGGTTATAGAACGTTACAGCTGGAAGGGCCCTAAGAGATGATTTCCCCCCTCACTTTACAGATTGGGAAACCAAGGCCCAAGTGAATTAGTGCCTGAGCTAGGATAAGAACTGCCCTCCCCTAACTGCGAGTCAAGGCAATCCGCATCACCACGCTGCCCCCGACATGAAACGTCACGGATCCTTGGGTGGGCGAGGGGTGCTCAGTGCTCAGCACAGTTTTCAGCTGTGTCTGAAGGAGTGAGTGAATGAATGAATGATACTCATTTCCTTCACTTTATTAAAGGCCCACTGCTCTGTGTCAGGAAGTACTTTCACTCACTGACGGTGGTTTGGGGAAGGCGTTTGATTTCTCCCATCTCTTCAGTGTGATGATGTTATATCTACTACTGTGTGGCCAGATTAGAGGGGCCATGTTTCATGGGTACAGCCAGAGACTGTGCAGAAAGAACCCTCAGGCCACCTCCTGAAAGAAGAGAGGGGAGTTGGAGGCTTTGTCCCTGCATAAGGGGCATTCGTGAGAGCACCTGCCCCAGGCATCGGCACCCAGCCCCAGCAGAGCTTTCTTGCCGCAGCAGATCACGCTGCTCCACGAGGCTGAGCCAGGAAGCTGGAGCTGAGGGCAGTGACCAGGAGGTGGGAGCTGAGGTCTGCTGGGTAGCAGACTTGTATCAAAGAGTTCTGCCAACTGTTGATCCAATGGTTGGGAGAGATCCAGGATCAGGGCCCGGATAGCACATTGCGGCAGTGCTGGGTGCAGGCTGCAGCTTGTGGTGGTACAGGCTGCCCCAGCACCGAGGCAGCCAGCAGAGAGGGCATCTGACTGGTAAATCCCAGCTCCCCCAGGCCCAGCCCTGGGGAAGGAATGCCCCTCTGTAACGCTTCCTCCCAGAGGGGGTGCCACTTTGTAACCCATGTTCCATTTGTGCTCTCAGTGTCCTGGCCTGGAGAGAAATGGTGGTGGTAACATTGGCATGTGCCCCTCAGTGTCAGAGAGGCCAGGGCACACGAACAGCTCTCCTGAGCCAGTCCTGAATATCTGCAATGACAATCACAGCAGAAGCCCTTCCCGGATAGCAGCACTGTGGCTGCGTTAGCCAAGAGCAGTCACTTCTTCACTGCCAAACCCAAGGTGTCTCCTTGGTTCTAAGCTAGTTTAATTTCATTTTGGTGGTGTTAGGTGGCTGTGCCGCAGTCGCCTTGGCCTTTGCGACTCCCCCTTTCTCTCTGACTGTGCCTTTCCAGTGTCCCTCGCTGGCCACCGTCTGCCAGGAAAGCCTATGTTCTTCCGGGGTATTAACGAATTCCCCTCTTCCTCCCTCCCCTGTGGCTTTTCTCTCCTTCCAAATGCTTCACCTGTGTGATCACATTTAGTCCTGGGACTTTGCCCAGCTCCTGGTGACCAGCTGCGGGTCACAGATCTGTATCTGAACCGCTCGGCCTTTCTCCTCGGCTCCAGACCGATTTCCTTCTCTGCTCCTGCAGGTGCCTCTGACTCAAAATGTCTAAAAACTGTGCTCCAGACTCCCCCTTCCCCACCTTCTCCCACTAAGTTACTTAGGGGAGCAAAACTGGGGACCTCAGATGCATCTTTGCTCTTTTTTCTTTGCCCCTCACTTCTGGTCCCTCGGTCCCACCGCTTTCACGAGGCAGAGTGTCCGGCACGTTCTGCTGGCCGCCGGACAAATGTCTGCTGAGTGCACGATGCAGGAGCAGAAGAAGGAAGAAGGAAGGCACGACACACTTGGGAACGGGAGGCTGCGCCGGTGCTGCCGCGAGCGCTGCCCTTGGAGCTCGGTCCTGGCGCCGCCATAAACTCACCAAGAGTCTTGGGAACTACGTCCCTCCAGCCTTCAGATTCCACCGTCCCCCATACGCATGCCTCTTAGCACAGAGCTTGCATTTCCAGCTTTTCTTCTCCGACTCCGGGCTTTGTTTCCACCTCAGTCCCCGAATGTAAAGCACATGGATTAAATAGGACCATTGGGCCTTGTTCTTTAGTGACGACCCTAAGGGCCACTCACTGGTCTGGGAGACACCTGGAGGTAGAGGCATGGTGGCCCATTCTGACCTAACCCAAGGTCTGTCCTTCCTCTCTACCTAGGTGGGTTTGAATCCATCCAGAATCTTCCAAACGATGTGAGCGGTGAGTAGAGATCGTGCTGAGCCTGAGTAGCGATCGCGTCCCTGAGGACAGCACGCCTGTCCTCTGCCGAGAGCGCCCGTCTTCATGGCAGGTGCTCAGGGTCACTCAACTTTGCCTGTCCTTACAGCGTGCCAGCCCGAGGGCTTCAGGGAGGCCGGGTCCGGCAGAGCCTGGGAGGAGCATCCGGCCGCGGGCTCCGGACGCTGCAGCAGCTCCGAGGACTCCAGCCCGGAGGAGGAGGAGCTCCTCTCGGCTGCCTCCGACAGTTATCACCTGCCCGAGCCTGATGACCTGGACGACCCGGAACTGTTTGTGGACCTAAGCACTGGTCAGGAGGAGGAGGAGGCTGAGAACTTTGCCCCCATATTGGCTTTTCTGGATCATGAGGGTTACGCCGACCACTTTAAGAGCCTCTATGACTTCTCCTTCTCTTTCCTCACTTCTTCCTTTTACAGCTTCTCCGAGGAGGATGAGCTGGTGGCCTACCTGGAGGCCTCAAGGAAGTGGGCCAAGAGGAGCCACATGACCTGGGCCCACGCCCGGCTCTGCTTCCTCCTGGGCCGGCTGAGCGCCAGGAAGGTCAAACTCTCTCAGGCCAGGGTGTACTTTGAGGAGGCCATCCACATCCTCAGCGGGGCGTTTGAGGACCTATCCTTGGTGGCCGCTCTGTACGTCAACTTGGCTGCAATCTACCTGAAGCAGAGGCTGAGGCACAAAGGCTCGGCCCTGCTGGAGAAGGCAGGTGCCCTGCTGGTCTGCCTGCCGGACCGGGAGTGCAGTGCCAAGCATGAGCTCGACGTGGTGGCCTATGTTCTGCGCCAGGCGATTGTGGCAGGCAGCAGTCCCCTGGAGGCCAGGGCCTGCTTTCTCGCCGTCCGATTGCTCCTAAGCCTGGGGCGGCACGAGGAGGTCCTGCCCTTTGCTGAGCGCCTGCAGCTCCTCTCGGGACACCCCCTTGCCTCAGAGGCTGCGGCCACCATCTTGAGTTTTCTGTACGACAAGAAGTATCTTCCACACCTCGCAGTGGCCTCTGTCCGGCAGCGTGGTACCCAGAGTGCCCAAGGGATATCTCTTCCTATCTGGCAGGTCCACCTGGTCCTCCAGAACACCACCAAGCTCCTCCGTGTTCCCTCCCCAAGCTGGGGTGAAGTTTCCACCCTGGCCTGCCCCACACTCAGGCAGGCGCTGGCCAGCTGTGAGGAAAAGGCAGACTGGAGCAGCCAGCGAGCCCTGTGTCTCATCCTGTCCAAGGTGTACCTCCAGCACAGGTCTCCTGATGGTGCCATACACTACCTGAGCCAGGCCTTGGCGCTAGGACAGCTGCTGGGGGAGCAGGAAGCCTTTGAGTCTTCCCTCTGCCTGGCGTGGGCCTATCTCCTAGCCAGCCAGGCGAAGAAGTCTTTGGACATCCTCGAGCCACTGTTATGCTCCCTGAAGGAGACAGAGAGTGTCACCCAAAAGGGAGTGGTCCATAACCTCCTGGGACTTGCACTTCAAGGTGAAGGCCGGGTGAACAGGGCAGCCAAGAGCTATCTTCGGGCCTTGAATAGAGCCCGGGAGGTGGGAGATGTGCGTAACCAGGCAGTGACTATGGCCAATCTTGGCCACCTGACCCTTAAGTCCTGGACTCAGCAGCCAGCCAGGGACTATCTCCTACAGGCTGTCCGACTCTATTCTGAACTCCAAGCCAGCAAAGAGACGGACATGGAATTAGTACAGGTGCTTCTCTGGTTGGCCCAAGTTCTGGTTTCTGGAGGCCAGCTGGCCCATGGCCGCCTTTGTTATGAAATGGCATTGCTGTTTGGCTTAAGACATCAGCACCTGAAGAGTGAGTATATCCTGCGCTGCTGAAAAGCTGTAGAGAAAAGTGTTGGAGCAAGCTTTGCCCATCTCCTATGTCAGGTCATCTCATTCATGTCCCTGCTTTATGTTCAGGTCAGCTTCAGGTCACCAAATCCCTCTGCCATTTCTACAGCTCCGTGTCCCCAAATCCTGAGGCATGCATCACCTACCATGAGCACTGGCTGGCGCTGTCCCAGCAGCTCAGGGACCGGGAGATGGAGGGGAGGCTGCTGGAGTCCCTCGGGCAGCTCTATCGGAACCTGAACACGGCCAGGTGAGTCCGGGCTCAGGGACCATCCTAGAAGCGGCTTTCCTCCCTTAAGGAGCAGCAGGGTTCTTTCTCTCTGGAAGTTAAATCCAAATGCAATATGGTACAGGCATTGTGCAAAAAAGCAGGGACTCTGCGGCTACCACATGGTACCATCTGTCACTTATTAGCTGTGTGGCCTTGGGCAAGTTAATTTCTCCGTGCCTCAGTTTCCTCATCAGTGAAAGGAAGATGATAATGGTATCTAACCTGTAGTGTTATTGTGAAGGATAAGTGAGTTAATGCTCATGGAACTCTTGGAACAGTGCCTGATACGTAGAAAGGGCTCGGTATTGTTAACTTCATCACTGTTACTTGTGTGTTTCCATGACTACTCCTCCCAGGACCATGGCCGAGGGTGCATATTCAAAGAGGAAGCAATTAGACCTAGGACTGAGGAACCTTTAGGAGGTCTTCGGTACCTGAAGACAGTTGATTTTAAAGAAAGGACACTTAACCAAAATAAATCCACTGAAAGGCGGGGTGTAAAATTTCATCGTGAAAAAAGTTCAGTTGAGACCTTACCTTTAAAATGAAACTGGAGATTATGAAATGACATTTAATGTCACCTTTTAGTTAGGAATACTTAAATTATAATTGCCACTATGCACCAAGTCTTAGAATAAACATACAATAAAAGAAAGGAGTGTTGACTTTTTGGCTTAATTGTGTTGACCAAATTGCATAATAGCACAAGGAGACATTCTTTGTTTTGTGATTGACTTTTCAGCAGCGTCGCAAAAAGCCTCATTTTTGCAAAAATAAACCAGAATGTAACCGTTTAACCAAAAGATCTTTTAACCCTTTGATATTCAGATTATTCGCACTTAAATCTTGCCATGTCCTGCTGATTTTCTCTTCTTTTTCTCTTCACTGGTCTAATGCTGCTTAATCCTCCTTGCCAGTGGGCAGCCTATAGTTCTGCTCTGTAACAAGCCTCAAATTGATTCCATTTAATCCTACATGGTTTGCAAGATTTTCAATTTCACTTTGCAACAGATTTGCATTATAGTATTGTATTCGTAATTATGAATGGCTTCTAAAATAGAGCAGGGATAATTGCTACTGTTGAGCAGAGTGTGGTGGGTGAGGAGAGGCTAATTAAATGACATTTTTTGCTTTTCTAGGCAACATGGTAATTGGGCACTTAAACAATGACTAATCAGATAACAAATTCTCTCTCTCTCTCCTTTCTTCTCTTACAAGAAGCAGGTGTCCTCCCAACCTCCCACTGTCTTTGCCTTCAGTCCAGGGAGGGAGTTTGGGGTCCCTGCAGCATGTGGGGGAATGGGAGGCTCCAGGGCCACTCTGCTTTTATTCCAGGGCACCCCAGAAATTTGGATGCTTTTGGAGCAGATCCAGAAGGCAGGCCCGAATTAATCACAGAGACGACATAGCCATGTGCTCGTGGTGAGGCATCGTGTAGGGTTGGGCTTTGGGAAAGGTGGATTCTAAGGGACTAGAGCAAGAGTGGCACATCTGTCTCAGGCTTTTTGCCACCTCTCGCTGCTGTGCAAACTCAGCCTTGAATACTGCTCCCAGCCATCACCTACCCCACTGCCATCCTTTGTTCCCTAGTGCTCCTCCCACCTAGTTGTCTAAAACCACTGTAATTCTAGGGGGGAAGCCAGAGGGAAAGCCCTGGATGCTGTAGGCACGGACCGTAGAGGCCTTATTTAAGGCAGTGTATAGGGTCACTGTCCTTAGGTGGTGGGGGTGATGGCAACGAGGTCAGGAGTGGGGCTGCAGAGGGCCCAAGGAGTCACTGGAGGAAGTTGGCAGCCAGAGAGCTGGGAGAGGAGCCAGGAAACCTGATTCTGCCCTGACCTACTAAGGTGTCCTGAAGCAAGTCACTTTTCTTCTTGGTTACTCCGTTTATGAAGTTAAATCGAATCAGGTACCTGCCAGTTCTAAAATGTTGAGTCTGAGACCAGCTAGCTTCACTGGATGTTAGTACCAGAATTCCTGCTGCCTCTGAAGGGTTTTGAATTTGGGGGGCAGATGCTTAAAGTTGTGGGTTTTCTAAGGGGCCTTTGAGATCAAAGACCTAAGCTTTTGGGGTTTGAAAAACTCTACAGTATGTTCAGAAGTTCTTGGGGGCAGACATTAGGTCTAGCACAGAGGTGGGCACAGAGGAGACATACATGTGTCGGGGGCAGCCAAGGGGTTAATTAGTTACTAATTTCACCAGCTCACAGCCCTTGAGCTGCAGCTGTATGCTGACTGGGTGGCTGATGATTGAGATGGAAACGGGGGAGTTTACCTGGGGAAAACCATGGCTTCTTTGCTCAGGACTCAGGTATGAAA